TTTCGCCATATTTATTTTAGATTTACTAGCCTTAAGTTACATCCCTACGAAGTAAGAGTTAATTCGAAGTAGACTGATCTCGTTTTCTCAACTTGGTCGTGTTGTCAGGGCGACTATAGTAATTATCATATTTACCAGCGTCGGATTGTGGACTTGGTACATTCAAGATGTTTCGCTGGCATGGTAGTCGGAATTGTCAGTGAGTTTTGCCATTCAAAGAACTCAAAAACTACTCATCAGAGAGCAAATATACCAAAGGCTACACCATCTTCATATATAAGGGTTAATAAATTTTTATTATTTACCTTTTCGCTTTTTGACAGATGATGCAAAGGCCATTTTTGATAGCCTACCTTTTCACTATAGTTCAACGAATATTTATATCGAACTCAGTTTCTCATTTTATGTTTAAAACCTTAATATTATTTTAAATCAGTTTAAAATAATCATCGCTTCGTAAAACCTTTATTTAATTTATTTAATTTTTCATAATTGCATTCTATACTTGCTTGCTCTCCCTGCGTTGTGGTAGATAACTCTTTTGAATTTTCAAGGATTAATCTGATCTGGTTGGGTTTTTAATTTTCGACAGGGTGCAATGAGGTAAATAGAAAAAAGCTTTCCTAATTATATTGCCATTGGAAGGTTATAAATACTATTTTTGCATCATAATTAGATTGAGCCAAGACCTCATACTACTTCCTCAAAATCACTGCATTTTAAGATCTTCATGTCCTGGATTCGAATCCCGTTAGAGATGAGGGGGAGACAAAGGCGGTGAATTGTCTTGGTAGGACTATTCAACAAAGCACCACTCGACTAGGCATATACACTTACTCACAAATGAGATCCTTTGATATATTTAATCTCAAAGTTGCATTTAGGAATTATAGTGTTCTTATTTATACAACTTATTTTCTATCATCAACCACCTTTTAGGCGTATATTTGGTCTTAATATTGCTTACTTTCTACTTGCTTATTAGTCTACACACTGAGTCCTGAAAAATCCCTATTCATTTCTCGTGTAACCAAACATTTATACATTCTTCACTCACCACTAAAAGCATCCAAAAATAGTTACTTTTATTTTACACACAGGAATTTACTAAACCTATTAAAACTGCAGGACATATCATAGTCAATTTAACATTCAATCTGTCAATATCTTATCGGGCAACCTCACCAACATTTTCTCATCATTAATTCATAATCACCTTGACCAATTGCCAGATTTATATCCATTTCCTCACCAACATATCTAAGACCCATCAAACCTGTTCTCCCTCCTTATGAGTATACACTCATCAAGTCAACCACTTTTCAATCCATACATTCAATCTGTATTTGATGCTTGCACTAAATGACATTAAAACATGCATAACATCACACTCCTGGCACTTTTGTCTCGGCTCAGTTGCGAAAGTTAATGACGACTCCTGGCCTCGCGTTTCGGGTCCTCCTTTATCACAGGCATATCTACACACGTCATGTGCCGATGGTCTACCTCCTTATGACACCGGATCAAATCCTCTGTTTTCTTCATCAGCTCTTCCACAGACTCAACAGTACACTTCGTCTGATCGCCTGCTCTACACGCCTTCTGTATACACACGCCATGTGTGGGAGGAGGTAGGATTACGGGAACCATCAAAATACTTTGTCTCCAACCAATTTATTGGCCTCAAAACGATGTATTTAAGGCCATTTTTCCATACGTTCGTTTTAAGTTTGCCTTTAAGCAACTAAAAAATAGGAAAAAAATACATTCTGGTTTGCCTGCATAGGTGTAAGCAAATTAATATTAATTTATCTTGCATGTATCTAACTATTTTATGACTTAGCATTCCCGGAATTCAGGAATTTAAATGACCTTATTAACATTTAGGCTGTAATGCGACCGATAAGTTTGTAGAACGAAAACATTTCTAACACAAATGGCTGGTGGCAGAAAATTTTCCTATAGTTAGAATCTTGTAAAAGGTACATGCTTTGTGTAAACACTATTCTGTTTCCTACAGGCAAGTTATCGAGGCTTTTCTACTGGAGGAAGATTTATGGGTTTTAACCAAACTGCTAGCATGACGTCCGCATCTTGACTTGTTGCGGTCAGGTATTTTGCGATTAAACTTATCGTGATCCGTCCAAATATGGTACCTAGCCCTTTCATAAAATCCTCCTTTGCTTGGATTAGGAGCTACACCTCACTCAGTAAATATCGCGACTGTATTCGAACTTCAAGTTTGGGAATGGACGAGGCTACGCAAACTCTCGTTAAAAAGGGAAATGGAAATCTTGTTGACCTACTTTATAAACTAGAAACCCAGGTTTGGCTGGACCTAATTGATTCTCCGCAGTGATTCATTCTGAGCTATCCTTTATGATCTCGAACATTTGGAGTGCATGTAATGGTTAGCTGCCCCATTTAGACATATTCTCTACTAAAGTTAATTTTGGGGTAGTGGATTTGGGAGGCTTAAGCGAATCCTCTGATTCGTGTACAAAAGGTGCTAATACAAAGAGGTTGCAATTAATACGAGTAATTCTTCCTGTGAAAATGTCGTACTAGTTGAAGAGATTATAACATATAAAGTTATGCATTTGCTTCCATCCTAATAAAAAAGATGAAAGTCTGGTAGCTGATTTTTCTCACAATGATATGAATAGAGCTGAGCTTTTCTATTAAATTTCACATTGCCTTGGTTTCCGAAAAGGCTTCTCATAAAGGGTGGGCTGCAGTTTCAAACTCGAATTTATCAACATCCCATTTGGAGTCGAACCAGGACAGTGCAGCGTGTAAGCTCGACACGTTAACCACTACGCCATACTACCACGAATGCCCTTGGGTCACAGGACATATGCGAATTTCAAGGAAGATCAGACATTTTCCATATCACATTCTGTGTTGGGATTGCTGATAAAGCAAGCTTATATTTACCATAGCAATCGACGACGTTACCTTTTTCGTAAATGAGTAGGTTTTCGAGATTACCAGTATAACAGATATATGAGTTGTGTTCACTCTATCTCGTTTAAGGTATTGAAGGAATGGTTGTTGGTTTTTTCCCCAATAATATGTGCAGATCTGATGTTTTCCATTGAATTTTCCATTGCCTTTCCTTTCCAAGGCTTAAACGCTGCACTGTCATGGTTCGACAGTGCACCCACTTGGGGTGTTGATAAGACATATGCGATGTCGAACCTGCAGTTCATCCTGGATGAGAACACCTTTTGGGAAAGCGAGGCCACGTGAAATTCAGTTGAAAACATCAACTCTACTCATATCCTTGTGGAAAAAAAGATTAACTTTCTGTCCTTTATCACTTTAAACGAAATAGGGTGAACACAACTCATATATTAGATTTACTGGTAGTGTCGAAAACATATTCATTTTTGCAAAAAAATATTGTAAAAATTTTGAAATAGAACGATTTTTTCTTTAATCTAGAGGTAATATAATAGATAAGGCTAGGCAAAAAGTATTAAAAACCAAAGTGATCCTAATAGCAAATTAACACAGCATAGAAAGCATTATTACCTGTTTATTTAATAATGGAAATGCTAAATTTCCTGCTAACTATTATGTTATAGATTTTTCAAAGTGTTTCTTGGACTATAGGCTTTAAAACTATCTGTATTTTTTGTCGCTTTAAATATTTGGTTTGCCATATCTATGTGTTTTAAAATATTCGGTACCGATAATTTACGCATTACAATATCTCTTCTAACTTTAGAATTCATATTAACATTTATAAATTTTAAGTATATTAAATTTATAAATGCGATGAGTAACTGGATTTAGATGAATATCCTGAGATAACATTGTTGGAGGGACTTTCATTTCGTATGGAAGGTCATTAAAAAGAGATTCGTAGGTCGATATCACCGGAAGAGGACGGTTGAATCCCATTGTACTGCAGTCGTTTGGCTCTTATACAACGTTCAGGTTAATGCAGTCCACAAGACCTCCTCTCTCGTATCTGATGAAAACAGGCTGAGCGTTCGTACATGATATGATGGACATCATCTGAGCTGGGCCTTATTTCTGTAAAAGTCTCACGTTAATACTAGGACAAGAAGATTATCCGGCTCTATCTTACCTCTTATATAGACTCAATAAAGCCAACAGAAAATAAGAACCCTAGATAGATATAAAGTTGTTTGGCTAATTATCTTTCATACCGGTCCTGCTACTTTTTTTTAGTGTATGCGTGTGTGTATGTTAACGTCAATGGGCAATACCGGTCCTATTTTAGAGTAATCAAAATGCTAATGTCAGGATCTGGTTATCAAGGCTTACTGGCCAAAGAAAAAGCCCTGGCCGAGACGGCGTAATTTCGTAAGCAACTATGCTTGAAATAATGAGATGTAAGCTTGTAAGCATGTTAGTCAGACAATGAAACCACCCGTCCTAACCTATCATTCTAGGATCATTAACGATTAACCCCCCAAGGAAAAGCAAGACTGGGGTTGTGTAATCTGACAGGTCTGGTTTAATTGATGAGCTTACTCTAACATGTTGGACGAATGTGAGTGAAGTTAGAACCATCACTGAGCAGACAAGTTGAGCCGCCTTCTTATCGACGGCGGCTCAACACCCTCTCTCTCCTTCAATCTATCAATCAAGCATCATTAGTTCCTACTCAACTTTCTACCACCGTTCCTCACATTCAACGTATTTCCTAGGCTATTAATTTCACTATCCTCTCTTATCTTTCGTTTAACCACAGATGTGTCATAATCAGCAAACCTACTAGTTTAAGAGCATTCTATTTCATATCCAGTTTATACCATGTGTTCAGCCACTTCTGACCGTTGGATCCAGCTTCCTTTGCAAACATTTTTGTGTTCTCCCAATCTTTGTTAAATAGGTTGGCATATCTCCACAGCATAACGTCGACCATATGAGCAAACAGTCTTGTAGCAGCCAGATCTCGATAATGGGCCATATTTCTCTCTAAAAGATGGCATAACAGAAGAAAGTGTGAGGATTTTTTTTAACAACTTCTTTACTAATTCGCCTATCTTTTTTATAGAAGGCATGACAGCGAAATTAGGATATAAGAAAATTTCTCAGTTTATCTATCTTTGACTAAATGGTTTCCGTCTAAAAATGTATTCCACAGTAGAGAGATATTATTCTCAATATGGCTCAAAGGATAATTAATTTCCAGGACTAAATTTGTCAGCCATTCCATCTCTTTAGTCAAATGTTTTCTATCCGTTAGCCTCATACTTCTAAGTATCATTGACTTTAAAATT